TTGGCCCAGGGCTGGTATTGCCCACTGCAGCTTCACGAAACCCCACCTTCCAACCACAGCAGACATCCACTGCAACCATCTGAACGACACACCGAGGATGCTGGGATTCAGCAGCCGAGATTGGTCGACAGAGACAGGCCAATCATCCTGCAAGAACACTCAACCACGTGGCAGAAACTACACTGCTCCACCTACAGAAGCTGGGCTTGGAAACTCCGTCATCCACCGTACTCATCAGACCTTGACCTACCGACGACCACTTCTTTGAGGCTTTACAACACCTCTTCCAAGGAAAAATATTCAATTCTCACCTAGCTGTGGAAATGCCTTTTGCGATCTGATCACCATTTGCTCTGCAGCCTTCCTCACTGCTGGCACACTCAGACTACCATTCAAATGGCAAAACTGTGTCGAAAACTTAGCATGCACTTGGATTAAATGTACTGTTTCTTGTTTGAGATCTAAAAAAACTAAACTTCTGGTTAAAAATCAGACATTTCATATTTAATGACCTAATAAAAATGACTTTTGATCAAAATAACTAACTCAGCAATTCCATGGGGATACAGCTTCAGTTTTTAGGGAAGCACTATTTCCACCATCTCAAAAATTAAAGACTTACAACTTACTTGATGAACAATACATTTATACCAAAAGTTAACAAAATTCTTATACTGTACTAAGTTTACATCACAAAGATGAACTATACGCCACAAAAGGGTCTCTTGGTCAATGATGAACATGTTAACTTTGAAACATGTGTGGGTTGATTACGTTCCACTTAAATAAAATGTGTCTGTTTAACTTTTAATGTGGCAAGTAAATATGGCTAAACAGATTTTCACACAAGTTGGAAGCTTTATTTAGTACATCTGTCTTTTTTTTTTTTTTTTTTTTTTTTTGAGACAGGAGCCTCAAGCTGTCCCCGTGGGTAGAGTGCTGTGGCATCACAGTTCACAGCAACCTCCAACTCCTGGGCTCAAGCAAGTCTCCTGCCTCAGCCTCCCAGATAGCTGGGACCACAGGCGCCCGCCACAACGCCTGGCTATGTTTTTTGGTTGTAGCCATCATTGTTGTTTGGTGGGCCCGGGCTGGATTTGAACCTGCCACCTTGGGTGTATGTGGCTGGTGCCTTAGCCACTTGAGCCACAAGCGCTGAGCCTAGTACATCTGTCTTAAAGTGCAGGCTATGTCGCATATGTGAAAACCACTTTGAGAGGCCAAGAAGGAGGTAGGAACACCTCAAAGAAACAGGCAGCGCCCTTTCAGAGTAGTGGAGACCAAAGTGGAAAGAAAGACACTGGGACAGCCAGTCAAGGACGCAGTGCCACGCATTTCAAGAGATGCAGAAAGAGAAAAACTGGGATTTCACACAGAAGTCAAATGAGGACACATTTCTGGATTTCAGTCAATGTTTCCAAAAACGTGGCTCCTCACACATGCAATTCTAGGACAGAGGTTGAAAAACTGTTTTTCTGTAAAGGTCCAGATAGTGAAAATTTTAGGCTCTCCTGCTCACAGCCTCTGCCACAACTATTCAGTGCACACTGAGGCTCAAAACTGCCCTAAGACAACACGTAAATAATGAGAGCAGCTGTGAGCTGACAATATTCTGCTTATAGAAGCAGGCACCTGGCCAGATTCAGGTTGCAGACCACAGTTTGCTGACTCCTGCTCTAGGGCTATGGTTTTCATGCAACATTCGCTTCAAAATAACAAACTTTTTTTATAATACGCATACAGTATATACATAAATCTGTTTCACAATATAACACCTTTTATAAGCAATGAACTTCGATATTTCTTGTTTTATTTTATGTTTTGGGTATTTGGGGGGAGGAGGAGGGCAAAGGTTTGCTACCATCACAAACCAGGAAGTTGATCTCACAAATGGGTCGTAATCCACAATCTGAAAAAAAGCTTTCCAGTGTGAAGGGCAGTGGGCACAAATTCATTAATCCCAAGCAACAATGCTAGTGGTACAGCATATACATTGAAAGCTTTCTCTAGGCCAGCCACTGTCACATGTTCTAGGAATCTAGGAGTTTAATAAAGAGGACAATGTTGTCCCGTGATAGTTAACACTGCAGTAGTTTTCAACTGGCGGTGAATACTCTTACCTGTAGTATGGGATCATAATTGTAATGCTACCTATCTTACAAGACTGTTGTGAAAATGAACAATTTAGCAGAGTATGTGGCTGATAATTTACTAAATACTTGGTATTAGTCATATTTAGTAAATTATTCATCCCATTATTGCTCAATTAAGCACCAAGAAGTACTTCTGAAAATTAAATTGAATTATACATCTATACCTAAATAAAAGCATATTTAAAATGAATTAAAATCCAAATTTTTTAATTAATGAGAAGGCCTTACCTATATTATTTGAAACTACTGAGATTTATAATGATATGATAGTCAAACAAAATGTAAACAGAACTTATAGTTCCTCTGACTCCTCCCTCCCCCATGAAACAAAATTCAGAAAAGATTCCTCTGTACACCTGTAAATTCGATTCAGAAAACCTATGCCATACTTAGATCAATTTTTACCATCAAGTGACCAGCAGCTGATATAGACATGCAGATTAAAAACTCATGAAATATAAAAGATGCTCCATATAAAATGATCACTGTGCCTGTAGTCAGCTAAGACCTGCCACGCATCAACTTCCACAAGATAACCTTTAGTAGAAAAATTGTTTTTGCATATTAAATGACTATTTTACATTAATAAGCCAATACCTCAAAATGTAAGCTCCATAAAAACTGAGTTTTTGTCTTTTTTCCACTACTATATACCCAAAACTTTTAAGAGTCCTTGATAATTAAGGATGTGTCCAAACTTTTTGCATTTTTGTTCCATTAGAAAAACAGTAAACATGGTGGCACCTGTGGCTCAAAAGGGTAGGGCGCCGGCCCCATATGCCGGAGGTGGCAGGTTCAAACCCAGCCCCAGCCAAAAAATAAAAAAAAACAGTAAACAAAAAACTTACCAATTTATTTTTTATGCATTTTAATATGCATTTGAAAATTTTAAAATTATATTATTTAAAATATATTTAAAGCCTTAACATGTCTAGTTTAACTAATTTTGTAATGTGATTCATCAGAAATAATGACCGTCATTACGGAGATAAAGAAATAATCTTACCTTCTTTTTCTACTCTAAAAACAAAAGTTCTTTGTGTTGTAACAACTTCAAACTTGTTGTCTCCTTGACCTCGTACTGTTGACATAGCAGAAAGTGGAATTATTCCTTTTGAATACATCTCCTGTGTTGGTTACAGAAAAATATAAAGATGACTCATGAAAATTAAATTCTCTTGATCTTACATAAAGAAAAGCATGGAATAGTATTTATAATGGCTTCTCTTTCATAATTTTGAATGTTGAAGTTTTAAAAATGGCATACAGATAATGTTTGCTCATATACTATTATAATCTAATACCCAAGAAAAGAAACTACTAAATGCCCCTTTAAGTGAGATGTCTTTTCAATTTTCTCTTCATCTGGAATTAAAAAGGAAGAAAATCAAATACAAACAATTCTACTAGACTGGCAATATGTCGTTCCAAAGAACCACAGCGTGATATTAAAAACAATCTGGTCAAAATGATTTCATGGTGTTTGCAGGCATCTGCTGGCCACAACAGGTACTGTAACTAAACCATTTCAAAACTATACCATTACACACTGAGACCAAAAACATAACTACAAAACTTATTAGATATTATCAATTAACCATATTACTTAATGATTTTATGATAATGATCTTAATCTCACATTATATCACTTTATTTTTATTCTCCAGTGAACAATTAGTGAAAAAAAAAAGGATGGATTTGGCTGTTTGCAATCAGGATATACATATTACAATTTTGCATGACATGGTCATTCTTTGGACTTGGATAACTTATTCTTACCCTTCATCTTCCTAGACCCTCTCAGTCACTTGGCAGGATGACCACTCCACCATCTCAACTATTTACACTAAGGGTATAATATTTACTGGATTCCATGTTAGAAAATTCAGAAAGCCCTTACTATGTTCAAAGAGTCCAAAATTCTTACAAACCTGGTGACATTTGAGCCCTGTGAGAAGTCCTGACTTTAACCAAATAGACTAGTGGGTGAAGGTCATTCTGGCCAGACACACTGAATACTGGAGGTGCGAAGCAGAAAAATAAAAAGATCACAGTGTAGAATCAAAGAGATGAGGCCATGTTACGGAGGGCCTTGAACATCAGAAGTTTGGACACATCCTTAAGGCGTTTTTCCTCTTTCATTCACAGCATTGTCTCTGGAACCCCCACTTTTGAGCGGGTTCCAAAGGAGGTACTGAACCATTCCATGCAGAGAGCAAGGACCAAGTTTATTTCCCACCCAGTTGTAAACTCCTACCTTAGGCACAGATAAGGGCCAATCCCTGTTAGCCCTCTGCCAGGGTTATCCTCCTCTGCAAGGTGAAGATATGCTTTGCCCAAGGGATTCAATTCTTTAATAATTTCTTCTCCCTCACTGGCTCTGTTCCAATTTCCCATCCCTGAACTTAGGTATCCATAAGAATCCTATCCATTCTTTAATGCTATTTAAATACCACCACCACGAAGGCAGTGTTATTTCCTATATTCTCTCATGCAGCCAAAAACTGAATATGATAATGAAACAATTACTTAGGAAAATGAATAGACAACCTTATTTAGGATGTCAAGAAATAAGCAACTTAACTTACTTCTTATTTTCTAATTTTTATCGTTTTATCTTCTCTCCCTTAGAAAGAAAAGCTCTTCTATTTCCTTTTTTAAATTTTTAATTGACATTAACAATTGTACATATTTATGGGGTACACAGTTACATTGCAATACATATACTGCATGGTGATCGGAGCATGGTAATTATCATATCCATCATTTCCAACATTTATCATTTCTCTGAGGAGATTTAATTTCCTCCCTCCAGCAATCTTAAACTATTATTGTTAACTACAATCATCTTACAGTGCCATAGGATGCTAGAAATTATTCCCAAGTAGCTATAATTTTACATCTTTTTACAAATCTCACCCTACCCTCTCCTTCCGCCTATCTTTCCAGTCACTAGAATTCTCTGTACTATTTTTCACTTCCATGGGACCAACTTTTTTTTAAGCAAATGTCTAAGAAATATGACTGAGAACATATGATGCTGAATTTTCTGTTCCTCATTTATTTCACTTTCAGTGTTATGCAGAGTAATCGCAAAGCTCTCTCTCCCTTACCTACACATTTCACCCGTCTTCAATGCCATATTTCAAGTCGCCATTATATATGTAAACGTCCCATACCACAAACTATAAAACTGAATTTATTACTACCTGAAGACCTACCACTCCTCTATCCATCTTTGCCCATTAAAATATCGCTCTTCTAGTTAATCAGTCTAAAATAGGACGGAACAGTCTTTGACCTGTGATTCTTTGCACTCACAGAACTTGGATTGTCCTCCATCCGCAGGGATCTCTTCCTCCCTACACCAACTCTGAACTCTAGTCACACTGGCTTTCTTGAGGTTCGATGATATATCACATTTCTGCCAAAACAAGCACCTTTGCATACACGGTTTTCTCTGCAAGGAATATTCTTCAATTTGTCTTTACATAGTGCTGCCTTCTCATTCTTCAGCTTAAACACATATTTCAGCTTAAACACACCCTCCTGAAGGAAGTCTTTTTGATCAGACTCATCTCTTGGAAAGCTTATCCTCACTGGGGCAGATAATCTGAATTTAAGCTAATAGCTGCCTGGACTTTTCCTAGATAGCAATGATAATTATAATTTAAATGATGGCTTTATATTTACCTGTGTGATTATTTGAGGTCTTCTTTTTCCCTCACCACCTTTCGCAGGTAACAGTTGGCACTATGGAAGCATTTTACAAATGAATGCTATGTCCACTCACATTTATAACCAACTCCAATGGCTCATTTTTAATATTTTTTGAAATTCATTTGGCAACACTTTCCCTGAGCCTCTACATAAGTCTACACTCTGATAAATCCATGCCTGGCTTCCTGCAACAGTCTCCTGACCTGCCTCCATACTTTGGCCTTGTTGTCCTTCTAAAGTTTACTACATAATATTGTTCAAATGCCATCCAGTTAGAGAAAATAAAGGTTCACCGGGGGAAAGTTTGCACAGGATTTTGATGGATGGCAATGTCTAGGAAGGATCAGATGGAAGAATAAAAATACAGTGGAGAAAATTCAGAAAAAAACACGTCCTAGTTTCCCAGAGTTGTGCTCAGACATTGCTTAAAAAGATTATCACAGGGAAATACAAGACAAGAGTGAAATACAAGACAAAGGAAACCCAGAAATGGGAGTAGATTAACACTACAATTCAAGGCCAAATGTAAACCACTGGATGCTCTAGGAATTGAGAAGAAGGCCACCTTCCCGTGGTCCGCATCCTGAGGGGGTGGGAAGGGGCATGGCATCTGTGGGGGATGATGTGAGGGCCCCTCCCCTTTGTGTTCACAGTAGCTGAGGCCAGACAGCAGGGAGTTCAGAATGTCCAAAAACATTTACAGTTCATCCCCTAGATGTCCTACTTTCAATTTTAGTTTGCATAAGAATTAAAGGAGCTTATAAAAATATATCCTATTGAGATAGTTAACTATTTGTTGGTTAACATTAACATTTTTCATAGGAATACTCAAGCAGTACTGTGGGGGGTGGGGAACAGAAATAAAAAGATTCTCTTTCCAGTAAATTTCATTAAAGAGACTAAAAAGCAAATCCTTAAAAAATAAGCTATATGCCTATAACAATGATATGAATATCAAGTAACTACTTCTGGTAGAGTAATAGGATAAAAGAAATTCCCAGGTGATCAAAATATGCACAACAAGTAAAATGCCAAGTCACTTTAACATCAGGAAGTTATAGTTTCTCTAAAGTCTCCTAAATAATATATAAGATCCAGAAATAAATCTCATAATTTTTAACACTATAGAACTACTTTTGTCTTTTTCTTCTAACAACTCAAGATAAAGCCAATTGTAGACGGGAAAATACTCAAACGATAGACTCAAAATGCTTTCATTTATGAGAGTATAAAATTTTCCCCAAAGAAAGAAATTTCAAAGTATCCCTTGAGCCTGTAAGATGACATTGACATCTAGGTCAAGTTTGTCATTTATCTACCAGTTTCAGACAATGGAATGACCACAGGGCAATTTTGCCTACAGCTGAGTGAGAATGGGGGTGAGACAGATTTCTTAGCAGAAGATAAGATCTCAAGACTGTTGAGATGATACTATTTCCTGTGATACAAAGTCCTTGCAAAGATATGATCGGGCAGCACTGAGAAAAGTGGAAGGAAACCAGGCAATGGGGGACTCTGCATACTATCCCCCACTCCACTGCCCAACCACAGGCTCCTCAAGTGAATATTTAAACATCAAAAGACCCAATTGCTTTGCTCACAGCCACTAAAATAGCACTCCAGGCCAAAA